ATACTGATGAGAATAGGTTCATACTGATGAGAATGCAGCTGATATGTTGACCAAGCCTGTTACTATCAACAAGTTCTTGCATTGCTGGGACTTGTTGAATGTTTGTAGTTGCTAGAGAAGCATGGTGGCCCAACCCACAGTGGTGCAGGTGTAACTCCCAGGTATTTTTTCTCCTAAGGAGCTGGATATTCGCAAATGTGGAGATTTGTTATGGTATGACTCATATACCATATAGGGACAGACCTTGGATCGAAGCGGAGCAGCGCGGAAGAATCTGTCCAAATTGGGAAGTTACGTGGGTTGGGGTGCGGGGGCAAAGCCCCGCAGTATGGTATAGGGGTAATATTGTAATTACATATTGTGCCTAAGGTTTACTCCTGGGTTATAAATAGACCTGTTAGTAACCCCAGGAAGTATCCATCTTTTCTGTAAAATCCTTTTCTGATTATTGAAAGGAACTCGTCGCTCGGCTCCCGAAGACGTAGACATCTTTGCTGAACCTCGTTAAATCTTTGTGTTCTTCTGGATTTGTGTCGATTACTGTTTTTCTTCGCCCTTATTTTCTCAACATCAAGTGAGTTAACCATTCTCTTCTTTCTATAATTGTACAAATATGCCTCTATAAATAAAAAACAAAGAGACAAATAAAAAGACCTCTCTCTATTTCTCTACAGAGACTTCCTTAATTACTCTCTCTCTCCAATCCTCCATCTCCCGACTCTAACTCTCGAGTCATATTTTCACGAAAAGATAATTTAGATTTCAACATCATTATTACTATCTTTCTATAAGTTAAATTCAAATTTTGCATTCCTAGTTTTATGAAACCGAAATTTTATGTGTAAATATGAAGTTAAATATGTAAATAAATAAGAATTGTGTGGCATGTATGCACATTCCCCTTTTAATAGAACATCTACTATTAGATTAGAGAAGTGCAAGCAACTTAATGTATACAGTATTATTGATAGCCTTTATTATTACCTTAGATGGGAGAATTAAAAATTCCATGATATATATATTTATATTTGAACTTCCCTGGCCCAAAAAAAAAAAAGGAGTTATTAGCAGAGGTCAAATTTCGGCATGTGCTTTAACATGCATAATAGCTCATCGTGCCAAGCATTGCTCACTGTATTTAAGGACATATATATATATATATATATATATATGCCGCGTACTCAGATCAGTTGGTCGGATATCTACTTATCAGTTGTAAGTCCCCTCTGGTCTGAGATTCGATTCTCCCCAAATGCAGGATGTGGTATTCGAATACTTAGACGCATGAGAGATGATCGAGACTCGTATAATAGCCTCCGACCATTCCTTTTAAATACACACACACACATCTTTGTGATGTGCGTGGGTGTGTATGAATGTGCATATATATACTCTTAGGGGGTGCTTAGTAGCGTACTTTTAGTAGGGTTTATAGCTCTATTTAACATAAATAAAGTCAAACAAGAAACACGAGAAGCTAAATCCATTTTCTTCTCCATTCTGTAAATTTTTTGATGTAAATTTGAATTTATTAAATTCAAATATTTGATGGATTTAATGAATTTAACTGGAGGAAAAAATTAGCATAGCTCAACTCTAATCAAATGCCAAATACATCGTAGAATTTAATTGGTTTTAACGCCAACCAAACCAAATACTATGATGTATTTAATTTTAAATGGATTTGATAAATTCGAATCTACCGGATTTGCTAAATCCTATTTAATCTAAATTGAAAGTGCAACCAAACGCCCTCTTGATTTTCTTAATTTTTAAGAATTTTTATTATTTATGAATTTAATTAAAATTTAAAAATATATTTAAAATGTAATAAGTTCTTAAATAAATATTATACATATATATATATTCTTAAATATATAGTTATATATATATATATATGAATAATACATAATATTTGCACTAAAATAGTAGACATAATCAAAGTCTGATGAAAGCGTGTCCAGAACTTCCGTTAGAAATTTTAATTCAAGCCACATGCTCTGAAACTCTTTATATCACTTGATTCCCTGCAATTGCTGGAAGCCTGGATCCACTCACTGGAGCTTTTAGTTGACCAACACCTCCATCTTCCATTACCAACTCTTAATTCGCAGAGATTTCTTCTCTACTCAATATTTCATCCAGATCTCCGTCCTCTTTTGAGAGTAAGCCAGTTTTTGATTCGCTTCCCATTTCGTTTTTCCGTTTGATTTCTTTGCATTCCATGGGATTTCGCTGAGCTTGCTTCGGTCCCTTGTCTTTTTCTCTTATATTTGTTTTAGGTTTCACTTGTTTTGAGATAACTCGGTCATTTTTGATGTCAGTGTTTGCTTTTTGTTGTGATTGCTTGTTCGTCCTTCAAGATGCTCTCGGATCAGAGTGGTGGAATTGAAGACATTGGAGTTATGGGTTTGTTTGCTTATTCAACACTTAGGTTTTAAGTTGTCATGGAGTTTTCGAGATGTGTTTGGACTTCATGTGGAGCATTAAGTTTTGAGAATCGAAGCACGCTTTACGTAGACAAGCATAGTCCAATCCTCGTGTCGAAGTTGAAACCATACGCACGGCCCCGATGTCAATTCTTGAATCCAATATTTCTTGGATGAGGCCAAAGCCCTCACAAACCAGCTTAGGGATCAGCGGGCGTTCCCCTATGCTTTTGGTCACTAATCCATTTGTTTCCTTATATTTCATGTCATTTTTAGTACTTGTCTAGGTGATACTGGATGTAACAAAAACAACCGAAAAAAAATATTATTACTCAAATCAAATGGGAAATTTCAACCAACCAAAACATAAATCTAAAATTGCAACAAACATGACACTAACTTCACTAGGGTTGGGCAAATGTGGTGGAGATGGTTGCTGAGAGTTTGGAAGGTTGCGGGACGATGGACGAGGTGGTTGACAAGCAGAAAACAACAAGGTAGCAGTTTCCCAATTCTGGACAACAAACACACATCAGCCATCGACGTGGAATGACTGTCCTGGATGATGGCAACAAGAGGAAGGCGAAGGTTGCGAGTGTGGCAGGATAGGGCAACGATGACAACCAAGATGGAGGGCTGGAACATGGGCGACAATAAAGATGGAGGGATGAAACATCAGTGATAACAAAGATGGGGGACAAGAACATTGGGAAGCTGAATGAAAATAGCAACATACGACTGTTCGGGGTGGCTATAGCAAAGAAAGGCGATGAGAATCTATGTGGGAAGGATGTGAAAGGGTAGGGGAAGGATAATTGCCACTTCAGGAGAGAGATACAACTGGAGCACTACTCGACCCTTAGATACGACCCTGGACGGGAAATAGAGATGTCGGTAGTTATCCCAAAAAGCAATACAAAAACTGCAATCCTAAACGACACAAAGCAAACAAATAGCCCTAAAATAATTAGGAGTGGCCCCACTCTATTGGGTGACACTCCCAATGAGTCAAGAGGACTAGCCAGTCCTTATTATTTCTGGATTGGTTTGGCCCAGATTGCTAGCCGTGTTTCCGTGCCCTGGCAGAGGTTCGAGTCACTAGGGATGGGTGACCGCTTACTTATGCTTTTGGTCTTAACTCAAATTATTTTATAATTATCTTGTGTCAATGTATTTCTTACATTAGATATTAACTTTAGCTCTTGATCATTCCTAAATGAGAGCAAGATCTACACTTCAATGAAATTTATTCAGGGAACTTGTATCATAAACTATTGAAGTACAAATCGTATAGAAACACATGTTCAAGCCTAAATCATGCGCACATGATAATCTTTGAACCTTTTGGATGGAGCCAAAACATGTGACTATTTGACTTGGGGATGGGAAACCATTCCCTTATGCTTTTGGTCATTACTAAGGGATAGGCAAAAGAAATTAACTAATTCAAAAATCTAAACCAAACCAACTAAATCGATTGATTTGGTTTGGTTTAGGTTTGACATTTAGTCTAAATCAATATTTATGCTTTGGAGTTGTGTAAAATTGAAAAAAATCAAATCAAATCAAATTATACACACACAGACACACTCATATCTGTATTTATATATGTATATATGCATATACATATACATTTAGTCTAAATCAAATCAATAAATATTTATGCTTTGGAGCTGTGTAAAATTGAAATAAATCAAATCAAATCAAATTCTACACACACAGACACACTCATATCTGTATTTATATATGTATATATATATATACATATATGTGTATACATATGTGTCGTGCGTCGTGACTGTTTGGTTGACAACTGTGTTGTTAGTCGTGAGTCACCTGGGGTCATGGGTTCGAGCCGCCTGAGTGCATCTGCATTGCAGTTCCACTCATATCTGTATTTATATATGTATATATGTATATACATATACATTTAGTCTAAATCAAATCAATAAATAGTTATGCTTTAGAGTTGTGTAAAATTGAAATAAATCAAATCAAATCAAATTATACACACACAGACATTCATATCTGTATTTAAATATGTATATATGTATATGCATATATGTGTATACATATATGCCGCGCATTGTGACTCTTTGGTTGACAGCTGCATTGTTAGTCGTGAGTCCCTTGGAGTCATGGGTTCGAGCCTGAGTGCATCTGTGCACTGTGTTGCACCGTGTGATCGAGTGGTTAGACACATGAGGTTGGTTAGGAGCTCGTATCATAGCCTCCGACCAATCTTATATATATATATGTGTGTGTGTGTTGTGTGTGTGTGTCCCCTATATATGTATTTATATACATATGTGTGTGTGTGTGTTATATGCATAAATAAAGTAAAAGGTTTTTATTTCTTGCCTCAATGCATTACACAATGCAACATATATACTAATGAAAGAAAACAAAATAAGAATCTAAAAAAAAATAAAAAAAATGAAAAAGATATGAGAAAATATCTAATAAAAGAAAACATAATTAGTGAAATATATTATGACGAAAGGAAACAAACTCCTTTTTAATAATATCTGCGAATTGAAATTTTTCAACACTCCCTCCAAGCTGGGTTGTATGTATTGTACAAAATAAGTTTGGATTTAAATTTATCATGACTAATCTTTGGTAGTGTTTTGGTAATAATATCAACAATCTGAAGTGGCTAGGAACATAGCTTAGCTGAACAACTCCATTGTTATCCTTTTTTGAGATGAAATGTCAGTCAATATCTATTCGTTTTGTTCTGTCATGATGATTTTTAGTTATACTATTAGTTGCTTAGCTATCATTGAACACCTTAATTGTATCTTTTGTCTCAACGTTAAGTTCTCTTAATGGTCTTTGAATCCACATTTCTTCACATATTCTTAGAGCAAGGGCACAATATTCAGATTATGTGCAATTTTGAGAGACAATAATTTGCTTTCTGCTTCTCCAGGTGACGAGATTTCCTTAGACATATAAAAAGTATCCAGTGGTTGATTTTCTATCAAGCACATCTCCAACCCAATTAGCATTTGTGTATACCTCAATTTCACTGCTTTTAGATATTTTGAAGATCAAACCATATCCAGGGGCTATCTTCAAGTATCTTAGGATTCTGTTCACTATTTTTCAATTATCCCCATTCCGGTTATTCATGTGTTAGCTTACTACATTGACTGAGTGTGTGATATCAATTATTGTGTGTGATATGTAGAGTGCCTTGCCCACAAGTCTTTGATATCTTTCTTTGTCAGTCGGACTACTTTCTTCACTTTTGTTCTATCATATGTTGGAATCCATAAGCGTGTCAATGAGCTTATGCCCAAGCATGTTAGTTTCATATAACAGGTCTAAGATATACTTCCTTGAGGATATGATAATTCTCTCCTAAGAACGAGCCACCTCCATTTCTAGCATATGTCGAAAGGATCCGAAATTTTTGTTAATCTTTAATTTTGTCGCAAGTATAATTTTTGCTTGATAATTTTCTCTAAATCATCATCTATCAGGATGATATTATCTATATATGCCCAAGCATGCTAGTTTCACCTAAATCCTTTTCCGTCGAAGGAAAAATGATGTGAGTATCTTGAAAAGAATCACAAAATTGATATTCCCTCGAGTGCTCCACTTGAATTTCAAATTTGGAAAAATAAAATTGATTATCTGAGGTGACATCCATAGAGTTAATTATTTTCTAGTGATTGGAGAGTAGCATTTGTCCCTTTTCTATTGGAGTAATTGAGAAAATGGCCTCTCAGAGATATGTGATCAAGTTTGGTGCGGTGTTGTTGATGGAAGTGGACAAAGACAAAACAACAAAAAATCTTCAATGGTAAGTCACGAGAAAGATAATAGATGTGGGTAGGATTCTATGAGAATATTATAAAGAATATAAAATTTTAGGACTCTACTAGGCATCCTATTGACGAAATACGTGTCTCTGAGAATGACTTCCTCTCAAAGATACTTTGACATTTGATTAAATAACATAATTTCACGTGCCACCTCAAATAAGTGTCTTTTTTTAGTGACTTCGTTTTGTTGAGTATTCACAGAAGAACATACACGAGTATTTGCAGAATAACATATATGAATAATATCATACTTCGAAAGATAAGGACTAAGGGTGTAATTAAAATATTCCTTGGCATTATCAGTTTTAGTTGAATTTTGCTTTGGAATTGAGTGAGGATCATAGAATGAAAAGATTGAAATATGGTGGCTGTTTCAAAATTTTCTGTCATAAGGAATATCCATGTTGTTTTTGTATGATCATCTATGAATGATACAAATCATCGTGCCTCATTTATATTGTCAGGGTCTTCAGATATCACTGTGAATTATAGAAAAATGATGTGAAGATTTGTACCGTTGTTTAGAGTATACATGCCTGGTATGTGTTGCAAGTTGACAAGTTTCATATTTATAAATATTTTAACTTTTAGTGATAAATAAATGTGAAAACACCTTTTCCATGTACAAAAAATTTGGATGACCAAGATGACAATGATTCAACATTACGTGATTTTTAACTGATACTACATTGACATAATTTGAACTAGACTCAAAAATATAACTTGAAGAATGATCTTGCCTATCATTGAAGCTACTTTTATTGAGTCTGTATAAACCACTATGCATCTCAACATTGCCAAACTCTTTTTTCGAATCCACCACTTGAAAATCATAATAATTAGAATAAAATTTTGTCACACATTTTAGATCACAAGTAAGTTTGTTGAATGAGGGTAAGTTGTAGTTTAATTTTGGAACATAAAAAACATAGTAGAGATGAATATCTTTTTGTCAATTTGCTCGATCCAATTCCTTCTACTGAGAATGATCCAATAACTATTTAAACTACAGAGTGACTGAAACATGGGTTATAATTTTTGAAAACGTTGATATCTTCTTTCATATGATTTGAGGTTCTAGAGTTAACTAGCCAAGCTTTTAATTTATTGCTTTGGACATTAAAAGCATGGGATAAGATCCCTTGGCATGCTAAAAAGCGAATAGGTTATTTCACAAGATTGTGATGCTTGTCCAGAACTGGAACTAAATATTCTCTGCAGTGCCTCAATTTGCTCCATATTGAAATGGCTGAATTATGAATTATTGTTGTTTGTCATAACAACATTTGCACAATTTTTCTTATCATATTTTCCATTAAATGACTTCCAATCTGCAGATTTGCCGTGTAATATCTGCCACTTTTTCTTCACATGATCAAGTTTTTTACAATAGTCGCATGATGATCGTCCTTTTTTAGGCTTAACATATAGAGAGAATTTTGAGTGTACAATGCTGATCCTTCAACAGATGGCATGGTGTCATTTTCTTTCATCATCAATTTCTTTCTGCTCTCCTACCGTCAAACTTATGTAAAGGCCTCTCGTGGTGGGGATGTGTTTACTTCCGACAATTCTCCCCTTGACTTTATCTAAGTTTTTATTGAGGCCAAAGAGAAATTTGATCATTCTTTTTGTTCAGTAATCCTTTTATACAAGACATAATCATTAGGACATTTCCAAGATTTAAGGGTCTGTTTGGGGCAGCTGCAGCTTATTTAAAAAGTGTTATGCAACAACTGTGGCAAGAAGCTGCTGCGTAGAAGCTGATTATCTGTTTGTTTTTTTACAGTTTAGAAACAACTGTGCTGCAGCTGTTTCTGAACAAATGATCTTTCTGCCCCTATACTATAATGTCGTTTATAACAAAACTAATTCTGCTAGCATAATCCATACTTGAAAACAAATATCAAGTTTGAACATTACAAAATAAAAATTGATATCTCACTGTACAGTAAGTAACACGACAATCAATAATAAAAAAGAATTATTAAAATAATAATTAATAATATGATAATATTATTTTTAAAATATATTTGGTTTATGTCACAAGATAGACTATCCTCTAAGGAAACTCTCCACGCTTGATCACTATTGGTGGTAAAATTCTCCAATCCATATGCCCACTTAAAAAAGTCACAACTTTATGTTCTTATCCTTAGATACCTGTATAACTATCTGGCGTAGCTATGTGGCTGTCGCGAAATAAGCAGTGAACGTAACAGTTTACAGTAGCAGTACAATGCTCTGGAAGTACCAGAATTCTTCGAAGTCTTCTTTCTTGAATGCATAAAACTACAAAACACAATCCATTAGATGCAACATTAATGAAAATGAATAATAGAAGTAATTTATTCAAGTTTGATGAAGCTATGAGGTCTCAGAGAACACAATATATAAACTGACGAATCTATTATTACAAGAAGATAACAAACCTTAAAAAAAATATCCAGTTGTCTTTAAACCATGTACCAAACTCGTATGTGTCACATATGCATATCACCAAAATAAATAATCCAAAAGAACCTCAAATGCTATAGGACTGAAAAAGGAGAGAAACTTGGTTGCCTTCATTGGGATTCACATGTGTCAAAAACCAATAGTAACATATAGGTCATCCAGAAGAACCTTTAAGTTCAAATATCTCATCATAGACCTCCAAAACTAAAAAATAAAACATGCAATATTTTGATTACATATTATATCCATAGTTTCCGCATCGGCCATCTAACTGGGAAATAATACATGCATAAAAACTGAAAATAAATTTGAGATTCAAAATATGTATCATTTGCATAAAACAAACCTATCATACTAAAATAATTAATAATATTATGAAACCCCCATGATATTTAATCTTCTATCATGTTAGAACTTAGAACAAATTTATCAAACTAAAGTTGTCTAGAGCGCACGAAATTTTTTAAAACCAAAGCAAGCTAAATTGAATCTGATTGAAACTAACAAACATTTCCAGAAGGTTTGTGTTTTTAAAAACAAAAATTGAACTCAACCCAAACTAACACTTGGTTTTGGTTCTGAGTTTGATTATATGTTTTGGTTTGGTTTGTTTTTAAATAAATGTTTGCTTCGAACCAAATTGATCCATGCTATTTAATTTGTTTCTTTATCATCTTTTATTTTTATTTTGTATTTCTTATGTTTGATATCAATTAGCTTTGTTAGTTCAAAACGATAAAGATCTAAATTTTAGTAAACTTCATTTTCAGAATTTATATCACAGGCTGTTTTATTTGTTTCTTATAATGTTATTTTCCCTTTTTTAATTAGTTATGTTTGCATCTTCAAAATTTCTAATCTTTACTCCTCGTAACTTTGTTGCCATAGGTTTACTTGCTTTATGGTGAGCATCATGATTTTATCATAGTTAATGTTTTTTACTTATGGAGGTTGTTGTTTTAATTGTTACTTTTTCTTTTTTCTAGCTCGTTGAGCTACAGTGGTGGCCAAAGTCCCGGCAGGGGGAAATACTAACAGATTCTTACTTTGGAGGGATATCAATCATCGGTGCTTGAATATTATTCTATTTTTACTTTATAAGTGGATTGGTCATAGTTTTTTCCAAGGAGAATGAAGGGAAGAGCTGATGGAGGCCTGAAGAGGTCCTTGGTATCTTTCTGGTGTTTTCTTTTGCTAGTGTTAGGTTTCTTATTCATCTATCATGTTGTTCATCGGGGGCAACATGCTGGTGCTGCTTTAGATTATGGTACCAAATTTTCAATGTCAGTAGGTTGGGGTAGCAATGATGATGGAGATGCTACCCAAACATATAATTATGTTTTTGAAAAAAAAGATGGAAATGAAACTATCACACCCAAGAGCTTTCCAGTGAGTGTTTTCTTCACCTTTAATTTCATTAATTAATTGAATGATATTTCTAGCTTATATTTTCCTACAAAACGTCAAGATTTGTTTCATATTTTACCAAGGTGTGTGATGATCGCCACATGGAGTTGATTCCTTGCTTGGATAGAAGCCTAATTTACCAAACACGGTTGAAGCTAGATTTGTCCTTGATGGAGCACTACGAGAGACATTGCCCACAGTCTGACAGGCGCTTCAATTGCTTGACCCCCCCACCATCTGGTTACAAGGTCATTAGTGCTATCGATTTATTTAAGAATTTCATCATTTTGTTGAATGTTTTTTTAAAAATGCATTCTTTTTGTTCTTGTGAATTTACTTTTGATCTCCATACATTAGGTTCCGATAAAATGGCCAGAAAGTCGAGATGAAGTTTGGAAAACAAACATACCTCACACTCATCTTGCACATGAAAAATCTGATCAGAACTGGATGGTTGTGAAAGGCGACAAGATACATTTTCCTGGTGGTGGCACCCATTTTCATTATGGAGCTGACAAGTATATTGCCTCAATTGCAGATGTATGCTACTTTCTTATCATCTCTATTTTTGCATTAGCTATTAAAATTCTAGAAAGTCCTTTTGTTGGTTTCTTTTGAATTGTTTTAATGTTTAGTGATTCATTTAAGCAAACTTATTTGGTTGATTTGTTAAACCTTGGCAAATTTTTCATCACCCCAAAGAATCTCTTTCACAGTTTGTTTTTTTTTAAGGTAAACAACCATAGAATTCTATTTTATTTTACTCTGCTCTACAGATGCTGAACTTCCCAAATAGCAAAATAAACAATGACGGTAGATTGAGAACAGCCCTGGACGTTGGTTGTGGAGTTGCAAGCTTTGGAGGATATCTTCTCTCTTCTAATGTTATAACAATGTCTTTGGCTCCAAATGATGTACATCAAAACCAGATTCAATTTGCTTTAGAGAGAGGAATCCCTGCCTTCCTGGGTGTTTTAGGGACATTGAGACTCCCTTTTCCTAGCAGGTCATTCGATCTTGCTCATTGTTCACGTTGCAGGATTGACTGGCTTCAACGAGATGGGATCCTTCTGCTAGAGCTTGATAGACTTCTTCGGCCAGGAGGTTTTTTTGTTTATTCATCACCCGAAGCATACGCACAGGATGAAGAGAATTTGAGAATATGGAGTGAAATGAGCTCACTGATAGAGCACATGTGTTGGAAAATTGCTGCAAAACAAAACCAGACAGTTATTTGGGCCAAACCTCTAACAAATGATTGCTACATGGATAGACTGCCAGGTACTAAGCCTCATTTGTGCAGATCTGATGCTGATCCAGATGCAGTTTGGGGTGTTCAAATGAAGGCTTGCATTAGTCCATACTCTGAGCGTGAGTACTCTCTGAAATATTATTATATTTATAGTTTATATATTTATATCCACACAGTTTAATCTTTTTACTATTTTGGAGTACTTAAATTTGTCTGTAGTTTCAAGCTTGTTAATATACGGCTACATATTAGTTGGTTGTCTCTTTGGCATTCAGGTAGCTAGCTCTAGGAGTTCTTATAGATTGGACACCTGATTAGTGCATTTCTTCTGAAAAATTTGCCTTTTTCGAACATATGATTTGCTATATATTTTAACTATGCTAATTATAGCCGCAGCTATAAAAAGCCATCTTTTGCCTTTATGTTTCTAAAAATTGTGCTCCGTATGGGAAGCTTCTGGCATCTCCAATGTTTATTGGATAAAATTAATCTGTGCTAATTACCAGTTTTTTTATTGTAGCCTTTTATTTTATTTTGAGTTTGCAGTTGAGTCTTATTTCTTCGGGGCTGCTTACTTTAGTTTATCGGTAGTCTTTTTTTTTTTTTTTTCATAATATTTGAAACTCTAGATGCTAATGACGTGATTGATCAAATGAATAAACTTTCCTTCCGTTTCTCAAGATGGCCATGCAGTAGGAAGAAACTTATAATACTAACCGTGCAATTACTAGATTATTTTAGATCTAAACCAGTTCATCATAAGGCCTATATCTTTATCGTATTACAAATGACTTCACTTTAAAGTCCCCGGGCTTCTAATTTCTACTACTAATAAGTTTTCCATGACGCAATCAACTGACAAGCATAAAGCATAGTTAAAACCCCGTACATAGAAGTTTCCTTTGAAGGCAAAATAGGATCCAATAACGGGCAATTTAGCCTAATCATTTAGCCAATCTTTCTACGTTCGATACTATTAATAAGGACTGTCTCAAAAGTTTAATCAGTGAAAAAGTCAAGGCAGCCATGACTTTTGAGAACACTAAAAAGCTAACTGGCAATGACCGTCTGTACCTGGAGGACTATAAGTAGGTGTAGTAGGGAATACTCGAAACCAAAATTCAATAAAATTTTCAGGATTGGTGATGAAAGCAATATCTAATGTGGCTCAAAGCGATTTGTAGATGCATCGAAGGAAATGGCACGTTGTTCTTTTGCTAATTTATCAACAGCTTCTTTTGCATCACCTTTAAGTGATATGCTGAGCTCCCAAATAACTTGTTCAAAATATTTCAGAGCTCAAGGCCATCCTCATGAAGAGGTTAACCAAGGAAAAATTCTTTTGGCCCAATTCTCTAAATTCCCCATCTTAAACTTGGGCATTTTCTTATTTTATAACCCCGGTTAAATATGAGATACTTTAATAGGTTAGCTTGGCCGCTTTTTCAAATATGAGGTGATGCATAGGTCAGCCCTTGAGGGAAAGAACCAGCTTATTTAAGTGCTTAAGTCGCAAGGTACAAAATTGGTAATGAGGCCAAATTCTAGTTTTTCTTACATCAACGTATTAGTAGGATCCAACGCTATCAATCCAACTTCATTTTGGGAGGACGAGCGAAATATAATGCTAATTGGGAACAACCTTATTACCGCTTGATCTTTATTAACTATAATTGGATTCAACATCAATTGCTCAAATTACTTACTCATATGTGGGTATTTCAAAATAGCAGGATACGATACCAATTGTTCTTCACTTTCTTAATAAGATTTAGCCTCGGTGAACCAGCTTCCCCTGGGAAGGAGTGGAAAATTGCACTAAGCTATTAGAATATAATTTTTATTATTCATTAATCTCTACTAAAAACACTAACCAAAGCCAATGGAATGCATTACTAATTGTCCTAACAGTGCATGGCAGTGCATACTTGCATAAATTTGGGAGTATTCGTCCATAACTGTTCTCAAATCCCCAATGAAGTCCAAGAAAGATTTTAGGACCAATAAAGTAAAAAAACTACAGGAGCCTCCTCTAACACTAACCTGTGGAATCAATTCTTGCCTATGGGATGAGCAATGTGAGAATGAAGAGCATCAAGTCTTACCTTTTAACCAAAAAATAGCAGAAAAATGAAGCCTGCAGAATCCGTCCCCAATCACCCGCACCTTTCAATGAACTCAAATTCCAGGAAGGTCACAATGATCTTGCTCTCCATGGAGATGGGTTCACCAACTTTGAGACCATTCATCTTCTGGGTTGATTTTAAACATTTATAATATGGTTTTTTATAGCTTAGTTGAGCTTGATTGAGATAAGAATGTTAAGATGGATGTGGTTACAAATAGGAATCATAATTTAAACAATAATTATGTAAATGGGCAGTTGGAGTAGCATATATTGAAGATATAGTTGGTGAAAATAGACTAAGGCTTTATGGACATGCATAATTTGTTATGGTAACTTTGAAATTTATAACGATCGACTACGAAGCGAATAAATATAGCACGAGAAAATTCACACAAAAAAAAACACAGATTTACGTGGTTCGGCAAATTGCCTACATCCACGGAGTTGCAGAGGATTTTACTAATTGAGGAATTTACACCGTTTGAACACAATAATAATTGCAGGAGAAAGTCTCTCACTTTCTCACTCTATCTTCTTTTCTCTACACCGAGATACACCGAAGAACACACCTTGCGATTCTACTGATTCGTATCCTTCAGCCCGTAAGTCTTCTTCCTCGTGCTTTGCGATACTTCCTTCACCAGCAAACCAACGCAGAACAGAAGAAGAATGAGGGAGAGCCGAAGAGAAGAACTTGGTTTAGGTCCTGCGACGGGAACGACGACGGGAATGACGACAGGAACGGTTGCGGGAACGGCGACTGGAACGGCGGCACGAAGCAAAGAGAATGGCGACGCAGAATTTCGGCGGGGAACGACTGGGAGATCGCGAGAAGAATAGGGCGTGGCTTTTGGGAGAGTAAAACCAATTTTTGCTTGGCTGGTTTTTTTGTAACCGAATAGAAGCAGTTTCCTTTTTTTTTTTTTTTTTGATAATGGTGGCGGGAGTAGTTACAGAAAATGGCAAACAAAGGCATATAAGTTTAAATATATATTAAACTGGGCTCCACACTCAACAAATCTCCCACTTGGAGAC